CGGGCGTGGGTTCGAATCCCACTCTTGTCAACAAACATGATTTATTTTTGCTTTTTTTTCCTCCTCCGTCGTGCCCAATGTGACTCTGGTTGAAGTTTGCTCAAAACATACCCGACCACTCGACAGGTTGACAAACATAGACGTGGATGTACTCGAACAGATTCATCATTGCAGTGACGAGCGAGTCCGATTTACTATAAGTGGGATCACGCCCACGCACCTGCGCCACCCCAGGCGTCGGCACCTGCACCAAACGAGTACGGCTGCTTTGCTGTGCCAGCTGCCTCGCCCGCTGCCGCCGCCGGGAGAGCAAATGGCATTGCCGCTTTTTGCTTCTTGCTGGTAGCGCTCGCATTGTCGACGCCGGCCTTGCGTTTCTTGCTGTCCTTCTTGCGCACATCGACGATAGCCGCAACGCTGGTGTTGACGGGTGCAGCTGGTGTGTCGTCCTTGACATTGCTCGACTGCTTCTTCTTGCGCTTGCTGGCCACATCAGCGGGGGTCGAGTCGTCAAACGAGCCGAGCACAGTGCGACCTTGCGTCTTGGACGGCGCCGCTTTGACGTCCTCGAGCACGCCCTCGGCCACCTCGGTGCGACCAGTGGCAATCTTGGCGCGCTTCTTGCTCAGCTCGTAGATCGGTGCCAGCCGCGCCTTTTCCGCCTCGGCATCGACCGTCTCGAAAAATCCTCCGTCGCGAGCGTCTTTCTTGTCCTTCTTGTCAGTGGTGGCAGCAGTAGAGGCGGATGCTGAATCGGTCTTCTTGCCCTTCTTGCCCGCACGCGTGCCGCGCTTGTGCTTCGGCTTGGACTCCCCTTGCACACCAGCATCCGCTGCTCCCGAACCCGACTTGTCGGATCGCTTGCCGGACACGTCCTTAACGGGCTTCGCTTTGCCGTGCTTCGTCTTCTCTTCCGGTTTGGGTCGCTCGCTGGACTTCTTCTTGGACGCTTTGGCGGGCTCGGAAGCAGCTTTGCCGCGGCGCAGAGCTCGCATCTCAGCGGCCATTTGCGCCGCCTCATCGTCGTCTGACTCGCCATCAGACTCTGAGGGCTCCTTTCTTGGCTCGGACGGCTTCCCTCGACGCAAGGCGCGCATCTCGGCCGCCATCTGCGCAGCCTCGTCGTCATCGTCGTCCGAATCGTCGTCGTCCTGCCTTCGCATTGCTTTTGTCTGCTTCTTGAGTGCCTCTTCGCGCTTTTCCTGACGCTTGCCCTCCTTCATCGGGCGCCTGTCATCGCCTCGATCTGCAGGCTTGGTACTATTCTGGGCATCCTCGATATCCGCAGGGCGTGCTCTTGGCTGTAGCCTCTCGTTGTCGAGGACACGCAGAGTAGGATGCACGTGCGTAATGCGTTCCTTGTAGTCGTCAAGCTGCGACACGCCATTGCCCTTGAGCAGCAGCTGGGTCAAACCCTTCCTGCGCAGCCTTGGCTGCTGTTCCTTCTCTTCGTCAGCCTCTGCGAGTGTCGAGAGCGACTCCCAGGTATCCAAGCCGCAGTCCTTGAGCTCCAACAGCTCGAGCCCTGGCGCTGTCTTGCCGTCAGCACCCTTGCCCCAGTTGCGTACGTGGCTCGGCAACGCTTTGAGCTCCGCATTGTCGTTGAGGCGGACTTCGCGCAGCGCCAGACACAGCGAAAAGTCGGGCAGGCTCTCGCTCCCTCGTAGCATGTTGTGACCCAGCGAGAGCTTCTTGAGGGCGGGCAGAGACGCCGGGAGCGAAGCGGGCAGAGACGTGAGCTGGTTGTGCGAGAGGATGAGCGAGTTGAGCTCTGGCAGGTGGGGGAATGACTTGGGCAGGGTGGAGATGGCATTGTTGTTGAGTACGAGAGCCTTTAGGTTGTGCAACGGCGAGATGGAGACGGGGATGGCGTTGAGAGCGCAGTGCGAGAGATTGAGCACGCACAGCTCTTCGAGCACCTCGAGACCGATGCATGCTTCCGAGGTGAGGTTGAGGTTCGAAGAGAGATTGAGCCAGGTAAGGTTGTCGCCGAAAGCGCGCTCTTTCCCCTTGCTCGGTGAAGCTTCGAGCTTTGCCTTGCTACGGAACACAGCCTTGGCCAGCCATGCGAGCGTCGACAGGCCGTCTGCAGATGCCTCCGAGGGCTCGATCGAGGAAAGATCGAGGCGTTGCAGGTAGCGGAACTGCGAGAGCGTGTCGACTAGAGCGGCCAGAGGTGGTAGTTGGTGGGCTGAGAGCGAAAGTGTCGTCTTGGATCGAATGTCCGTTTCCTCGTCCTCGTCCTCCTCCGAGCTCTGGTCGTCGTCGTCGTCAGCGGCGTTCGATTGTTGCTCCTGGGTTGGCTGTCTGGCATTGCGCGAGCCTTGGTAAGGTCCACTTGCATTCGGCCGTGACTGGCCTCCGCGAGCAGCGCTCGAACTGCTGTGGGAGGCTGTCTTGCCCTGAGCACGCTTCTTGTGAAACGCCGAGCTGGTCGAAGAGGTCGAGTGCTGGCCTGAGCCCGAAGCTGCCGCTGCGCGATTGCGCTCGGACTTGATAGGGCCTCTTGGCACTGGGGCTGCTTGCACCATGCTGATCGTGGGTATGCGTTGCAGCCGAATGGTGGGAAGAAGGTAGGAGCACGCCGAACTTTTTTTCTTTTTCTTTTGGCTTTTTGGTGTGGAGTTCTCGAGTTCCTTTTTTCTTTGCATTTTTGTCCGAGGCAGACAGCTGTGCTTCCTGAAAAGCAGACAAAAATCGACCCTTAAAAGCCAGAAAAAGAAATCCGGAATTCGGCCAACAGCGGCGGCTGCCCGGAGAATGCTCGGCTAAACGCAGCGGCGCGCGCCCAAACCAACACCTCTCGACCAACACCTGCCGCCCCACCCTCCCTTCCAGCCACGAACAGGCCCAGAGAGGATCCGACCACTCAGCATAGATCCATGTCGCGCTCAATTTGAGGACAGACAACCCAACAGCTCTCCACCTCCGGCCAACACACACGAGCCGTGCCATGTCGGCCGACCCCGTGGGTGCTGCCATCGCGCTCGCTGGGGTTCCCGATGAGCCTGCCTCGCTCCACTCGAGCGCGCTGCGGCCGTCCGTAGACTCAGGTGCAGGCAATGCATCGAAAGCCAAGGCTAGCTCGGACAGCATCCCGCTGCCAGAGGAAGACCAGGACGAAGACGACTTTGTCGTGTTCGAGGACCGCAACACCCTCCCCGCACCTCACCTCGCACGAGGCGAACTGGACGACGTCGCAGCCTCACAAGACGACTTGCGGCGACCTTCAGGAGAAGATCAAGGAGGCTCAAGATTCAAATCGCTCGCCAGAGCGAGCGTTGAAAGCTTATCGTTTGGTTACCGCGATCACCTCCTGCCGCTCAGTCTTAGTGGAGGTGCAGACGACACTCTGGCTGGCGACTATGGAGACGTGGAATCATCTGTCTCTGCCGCTGGCGCCTCGGGATCGGGCCGGAGGAATGCTTCTCGGTCGCAGTCGAGACGGCATACGCGCAATTACTCGCGCGACCGGGTCGCCGAGCGCAGAGTGACGCTCATCGACGGCATCGCGCTCACCATTGGCGTTCAGATCGGCTCGGGCATCTTCTCATCTCCAGGCGTCGTCACGCTCAACACTGGCAGCATCGGCGCCTCGATCGTCATCTGGCTGCTCTCCGGTCTGCTCGCATGGAGCGGAGCCTCTTCGTTCGCCGAGCTCGGCGCGTCGATCCCACTCAATGGCGGCTCGCAGGCGTACCTCAACTACTCGTTTGGCCCGCTCTCGGCCTTCCTGTACACGTGGTCGGCGCTGACGGCGCTCAAGCCCGGTGCGGGTGCGATCATCGCCACGATCTTTGGCGAGTATGTGGCGCGCATCCTCTTCCACGCCACGGGCAAGGCGACCGACCACCCGCACGAGACCGGGCTCGACGGCATCCCGGCCTGGTCGATCAAGCTGCTTGCGATAGCGATCGCAGCGTTGATCACGGCGGCGCACGCATTCTCCAACAAACTCGGAACGCGCACGCAGATCGCCACCACCGTCGTCAAGCTGCTTGCGCTCACGGCGGTGCCCATCTTGGCGATCGTGCAGGCGGCACGAGGCAAGACATCGCCCAGCTCGCAGCAGGCGTTTTCGAGCCTGGCCAACCTGTTCGAGGGCAGTGCCACGTCGCCGTCGTCGTACGCCTTGGCGCTGTACAGCGGGCTGTGGGCGTTTGACGGGTGGGACCAGTCGTGCTTTGTGGCGGGAGAGATGAAGCGCGTCGAGAAGGATCTGCCGCGCGTTATTCACATCAGCCTGGCCACGGTGATCCTCATCTTCCTGTCGGCGGTGGTGTCGTACTTTGTGGTGCTGCCGGCGGAGCTGGTGAAGCGCACCAATACGGTGGCGCTCGACTTTGGCAGTGCGATCTTTGGCACGGTGGGCGGGATTGTGTTTGCGTTCCTCGTGGCGTTCTCGTGCTTTGGTGCGCTCAATGGGCAGATCTACACCACGGCTCGGCTCATCATGGCGGCATCGCGCGAGGGATATTTACCGGAGAAGTTGGGCCAGGTCAACCGACGCACGGGCACGCCCGTGGCAGCATTGGCGCTGCAGCTCGTGCTGATTGCAGCGTTTGTGCTGTTCGGATCCGGGTTTGCATCGCTCGTCAACTTTTACGGCGTCTGCAGCTGGGCCTTCTACCTGGCGTCGGTACTGGGTCTGTTGGTGCTAAGGATCAAAGAGCCCAACTTGGTGCGGCCGTACAAGACCTTTTTGGGCACGCCGATTCTGTTTGCAGCGGTCGCCCTGTTTTTGCTGCTCATGCCCATTGGGAGTGCACCGCTCGAGGGTCTGGCTGCACTGCTGTTCATTGCGGCAGGCGTGCCGGTGTACTACCTCACACAGGCCAGTGCAGGCTGGACCGCCAGCAATCCGATCCTGGCCAAGCTCAGGGCGAGCTTGGGTGGCAACCGCGCCGGAGACGTGTACGATGGAAGGGGACAGCATGTGCCGCTAGCCACCTCGGACGCCAACGACCCCAATGACGACGAGGAACACATAGAAATGCTGCCGTCCTCACCCGAACCCAAACGCGACTCACTTTGATACACACCCGCACACACGCACGCGCACGCACCAATGTCACTTTCCCACTGCACCATCTCGGGCAGAATGTGCAAGTTTAGATTCGGCATGTGGCCCCGACAGGCGGGCATCACTTGCGGCCCTTTTTCTTGCCCTTTGCTGTGGCGGGTTTCTTCTTCTGGGCAGCTGCGTACCTGTCGAGAGTGTGCCACTTTACGTTTTCCCACGCATCGTGCATTGCCGTCTCATCCGCTCGCGCGCCCAACTCGGTCCACAGCCTAGCGAGCTGGGCGCGCAGCTGCTGTGCGATGAGCTTGCATTCGGATGCGGGCTTGTTGCCAAACTCCTTCTCCGTCGCGGGACCCTCGGCGAGGTAGGCCTGGAACTCGTCCCTCCACACCGCGGGGGCATACTTGCGCAGTGCCAGGTCGGCCTCGATGACCTTCTTGGCGGGCGCGCTGAGCGAGTCGTACAGCTGCGCCACCAAGGCCCGGTACGAGGCCGAGAGAAAGTAGAGCGCATGCAGCCGTTCGTGCGGGAGCGTCGAGTGCGCCTGCGACGCCACGCACGAAATCACATAGCTCACCGCAGCCTCGCCGTCGTCACTGCGCGCGCTGGAACCTTCGTAGGCCGAAATGGCGCGCAGCGACACGAGCAGCTCCAGCAGCTGCACCTCCTCCGCAGAACAGTGAGGCCGCCACCACTGCGCCTCGGCCTCGGTGTCGGAGCCGACGGCGTCGTGCATGGCGTCCAGCCAGTCCTGCACGCCCTGGCGCAGCGGAAAGTTGAAGCCCTGGTAGTTGCGGCAGATGCGCTCGTCCGCCGCCTCTTGCAGCGTCAGGTAGCGCTTGCCGTTGGTGTCCGACTCGTAGAAGGCCTCGATGCGCGCAAGCGCCGCGTGCTGCAGCGCCGCCGTGGGGAAGAAGAGCGTCAGCACGGGCGCCTCGACAATGTGCCCAAACACCGCCTCCTCCTTCTCGGCAGCCACCTCGGCCGGCTGAGAAGCAGGCGCGGGCGTGGAGCCAGCCGAGCTCGACTGTGTCGACTGGCCCGAGATGGCAAAGCCGGCTGCGGCGAGTGCGCTCGACAGCGCAGCGGGCGTCGACGAGCGCGGCTCCTGGCCCGTAGGCGCAGCAGACGCTTGCAATGTCATGTTGGACAGGTCGCGCGTGGTTTCAGTCACGCCCTGGTCGGAGCGTCTGTTTCGAGACTCGCTCCGGACCTGGGGGCTGGCTTGCGCAGGCTGCGACGCGGGCGGAGCGGTAGGCGCGGCCGGCGAGGCGCTGTAGTCCGCGCTCGCATCGGTGCGCGCAGAAACGCCCAGACCCAGACCAGCCAGCTCCTCGAGCAGCGCATTGCGTCTGCGTGCCAGCGCAAGTTCGGCCTCGAGCTTGCGGATCTTTTGCTCGAGCTCCTCGTAGCTCGGCTTGCCTGCCGGTTCAGACGGCGCGGCTGATACTGGCACGGACGCTGCGACGGGCGCTGCGGGCGAGGCGGGAGTGGGCGAAGGGACACGTTCGGGCGATGGGCTCAGCACCATCTCGTTGGGACGCAGCTTCTGCTGGCCGTCCTTCTTGTTTGATCTGCCGCGGTCGGGCGTGGAAACCGAGTTGGCGGGACCGACGCCGTTGGGCCCGCGCACGAGCTCGACGGGCGCATTTGCGATGCGGTTGTGCGAGACCAGGAGCGAGGCCGGGTCGGTGTGGTCCGAGGCGCGAATGTCGTCCCAGATCTTTTTCTTGTCGAACGCCTTGAGACCTGCGCTGAAGTCGAACTCGTCCGAGAGCGAGGCGTTGGGGATGGCGGGGCTGCTGCCGCGCGAGACGGATGCAAGCGCCGCCGCCTTCTTCTTGGCGGATCTGGGCGTCTGTGCACCGGCAGCAGCATTCTGAGGTCGAGGCGAGCGGGAGGGTGTAGAGGTGCGCGAGCCGACGGGATCGGCGGTCTTGGGTGCGAGGAGGTGGGGCTGGTCGGACGGAGTGGAAGCAGCGGCATCCTGGTTGGATTTGCGCTTGGCTGCTGCGGAAGTTGCGGCTTTCTCGCTGGTGGTCTCGACCGGTTTTGCGGCAGCTAGACTGGCAATGTCTGTCCTTTCGAGTACGGCGTGGGAGCCGTCGAGTTTCTGAACGGTGAGCGTGTTGGCGGCCTGGTCGATGGAAAGGATTTTAGCGTACAGATGCAGATGCGGCTGCGAGTGCAACGTGAGCTTGACGTTGAGGCCGATGAATGGCGACGACATGACGAAGGGTCTATGCGAGTGTCGAAGCTGTGCCGGCGCGGTGGAAGACGTGCAGCGAGGATGTGGTGAGGGAAAGAGGAAGAGGAAACTGATGTTGCAGGTTCGAGTCGTGCGATGCAGCAAAAGGCGTGAATGCAGCCGAGCCTCTCTGTCGAAGGAAGGCGATAACTTGAGTATGTTAGGCCGAAAGAGATGTCGCTCCTATTTAATTTTCCGGCTCGTGTGGAGAAATGCGCCCAAAAAGTGGCGACGCACAAGCCAGAAGAGCAAAACGTCACTTTTTGGGAAGAGCAGCTGCTGCTGCCTCAGCGTCCCGGCTGCCTGAGGTCATCGAATGTTGCCAACGCCCTGGTACAGCCTAATCCCCTGTCCTTGCCGCTCCCTTGCTGCTCCATCCCCGACGTCGACAACACATGCTCGGACGCTGCACACACTGTCTAGCAAGAGTGCCGCCGCCGCTTAGGACCGCGCTTGTTCGCCGTGCATCGCCATCACTCGCTGCTCTTGCCCCGCCACAACGAACCTTGTCCACTTCATCTCGACTGCGGTCGTCCAAGATCCTATCCTTCAATACATCCTCCACCATGTCGTCGCAGGATGCCAAGGTGCTCAAGACAGCGCCGCTGCAGGACTCGGACGCCAAATGGGTGGGTCTGCGCTCGATCGAGTGGGTGGACCCGACGGGCAAACAGCGCAAGTGGGAGTCGGCCGACCGCAAGACACGCAAGGGTGACGTGGATGCCGTGGCGATCATGACGATCATCCACCGTCCGTCGTCGGAGCCGCACATCCTGCTCATCTCGCAGTACCGCCCGCCCGTGGGGCAGAGCTGCATCGAGATGCCTGCCGGCCTCATCGACGCCGGCGAAGAGGGCGACGAGGGCACCAACCGCGCCGCACTCCGAGAGCTCGAGGAGGAGACAGGCTACGGCACCGACAAGCAGGGAGGCAAGGTCAAGATCCAGGAAACAACACCCACCATGTTCAACGATCCCGGCCTCACCGGCGCCAACATGAAGATGGTGGTGGTGAATATCGAGCTGGCCGACAATGCGGACGAGCCCGTCGCCAAGCCCGAGGAGGGCGAGTTTATCGAAAAGTACCTCGTGCCCGTCAAGGGCCTCTACCAGAGCCTCAAGGACTTCCAGGCAAAAGGATTCGCAGTCGACGCACGTCTCGCCCACCTCGCCATCGGCCTCGAAGTCGGAGCGGGCAAGATGGGCCGTCTATAGAGCTCGTCCACCAGCACGAACAAGGAAAGCTTCGCTAAACGACATCTAGACTGCGCAAAAGTGGTGTTAGAAGTACATGAGAGTGAGTGAGAGTGATGGTGCAAAAAGACGATTCGTGCTTTTCCCGAGATGGAGCAGGGACAGCGCGATCATTGCGGCGCGCACTGCATGCCTGGACCCTGGCCGCCCATTTCGTCGTAGTCCTCCCATCCGTCGTCGTCCATATGGCCCTGTCCGGGGATGCGTGCGCGGTTGCTGCCAAACTGCTCGATCTTGGCGGGGCTTGGCTCGACCGTGTCCTCTACGGTATCTCGGGTGGATTCCAGATCGGGCCTTGCTGGCGGGAGAGCGTTGCGCAGCGCGTCGCGGATCGCCGGGTCGGCAGCGAGCTGTGCGTCGGTGGGGAAGTCGACCTCCCAACGGATGTACAGGTCGCCCTTGGTCTGGTTGCGGTCGCGGTACTGCGGCATACCCTCTCCGCGCACGACGTCGACGTGACCGGGCCGCGTGATGCTGGTGCGCGCGACTTTGATGTGGCGGCCGTCGAGATGGGTGAGCACGGTGCGATCGAATCCGAGCAGCGCCTCGACGAGCGTGAGCCGCACCGTAGTGAGCAGGTCGAGCCCCTTGACTTCAAACGCATCGTCCTTCTGCATCTTGAGCTCGATCAGGATGTCGCCCGGCTTGACGCCGGGCTCCTGGTCCGCGGCCTCCTTGAAGACGATGCGCTGGCCGTCGACCATGCCGCGTTCGATGTCCACGTCGAGCTTGGCCTTGGCCTTGGTCGTCTTTTCGCCCTTGCACTTTTTGCACCGGTCCTTGTCGCGCACCTTCTTGCCCTCGCCGTGGCAGTCGGCACACTCGACGTACGACTGCGCGATCATCCCGTTGCCCATACTGCGCTGCTGCAGCACCGATCCCTTGCCGGAGCATTTGACGCACTCCTTTTCCGACAGGCCAGGCTTGGCACCCGACCCCTCGCACTGGGTGCAGATGACGTTCTTGGTGAGGTTAAAGTGGGCCGTCTTGCCCCTGTACAGGTCGGCGAGCGTGACCGAATACTCGATCACCGCATCCTCGCCCTTCGTTCGGCGTGGACGTCGACCGCGCGGCATGCCACCCATGCCGCCCATACCGCCCATGCCGCCCATGCCCATGCCGCCACCGAACATGCTCGCAAGGAAGTCGTCCATGTCCGGAGGCATGCGGCCGGCGCCGCCAGGTCCACCTGGCCCGTCGTCGCCGTATCGATCGTACGCGGCGCGCGAGTCGGGATCCGAGAGCGTTTCGTATGCATGGTTGATCTCGGCGAACTTTTCCGAGGCTACGGCGTGGTCGATTTCGGGGTTCTTGTCCGGGTGGTTGGCGAGCGACTGTTTGCGGTACGCCTTCTTGATGTCGGCTGACGAGGCATCGGGTGCCACGCCGAGGATGTCGTACAGATGTGTGGACTCGACCATGCTTTCGAGATGCGCTGCCGGGACGGTTGGGTCAGAGAAGGAGGAAGAAGTCGACTGAGCATCAACCCAACGACAGCTCTCACCAATCCCGGCTTCCGAACCAAAATCCCGGCTGAAATATTTTGACTCACCCAGGCAGGCGAGGCAGGCAAGGCGGGCAAGGCTGGGCAGCAGGGCGTCAGCATGCAGGGAAGAGAGAGGTGTCGTGTGTGGTGGAAAAAAAAGGTCCGTATTTCATGTGGAGGCGTGGCTCCCAGATATATGAGGTGCTGATGGAGGTGCTGATGCTGCTTCTGGCTCGACACAGCGCATGTCTATGCGCTGCGCCTGGCTTAAGTCGACGAGTCGCCGTCAGGATACAGCACCGACCAGAGCTTGCTGTTGGTGCCGAGCGAGTAGCCCAGCGTGCGTTGCTTCATATCCACACCCAGACGCAGCAGATCCATCACGTCGTCCAGCAGGTGCGCCTGCCCCACCACCGCGCCCGGGTGCGACGTGAAACTCGCTGCCAGGATGTGGACGTGCAGGTGGTAGTAGCTGGGATGGTAGTGCAAGAAGCAGCGCACGTTGCCATCTGGCTTGCCCTCTTGCACACCAGCTAGGCTAAACTTTTCAAACGCCACCTTGCTCGCCTGGTCCTTGATGTTTTGCAGCATACCGATGTGGTCCTTGGTCAAGTCTCGCAGACTCGTCAGCTGGCGATTGTGCACGATGGCCTGGATGTACAAGCTCGATGTCGTCTTTTGGTCCCACTTGAGATCCGGCACGATGATGAACCCAGTTTCTGGATCGGGGTCCTCAAACAGGATCGAGTCGGCCTCCTTCTTGTGTTCGAGGATGTTGTACACCCACTGGATGCGCGATGGCGGGAACGATGCGATCCACGGCTGCACCTTGCGCGCATACATCTCGGGCGTCTCGTACACCATCACCCTGCGCTGCGCTGAGTACTTGTCGATGTGCGTTTGCGTCGCCGGTCGAATGAGTGTCATCTTGACATCAGCGTCGCCCGGGTCAGAAGCGGAGTGCTGGAGCCATGCCAGCAGCCACGTGTAGACGTCGTTTTGGCCAAGATCGCTCACAGCCGCAAAAACGGCGTCTCGCTCCGCGCCGTCGAGTACCGCAGCGTCCGCATCGAGCTTCGGCGCCTTGGTCGTGCGCTCTCCGCCGGATGTGGATGCTCTGGTCGGAGCCTCTAATCGGCTGTAGAATTGCTCGGAAAAGTGCGTCTTTTCGAGGATGAGCACCGCCTGGTCTACGCTCGTCGAGCCGTCCTGGGCTGTGCATGTGAATTCGCCGAGCAGGTTGGCGGATTTGTGCTTGGGGTCCTGGTCGAGGATGCGAATGAGCTTGAAGCCGTCCAGAACACCGCTGCTCGTGCTGGAGGAAGCGGATGCCATGCTGTAAAGGGTGTCTATTGGGGCGCCTTGCGAGTGGTCGAGAGTCAAGGCGAGCAGGTCGTGCGCATTTCAGGGTCCAAAGCCCAGTTGTTGGCGCAAGAAGCGCGCGCTCGAGTTCCGACTTCCGTGCGATTTGGCCCACTCGGATTTCTTCGAGAGGCCTCCACTTTGGTAAGCCTTGTTGCTGCTCATCATCGTCCAAACCATCCCTCTTTCTCTTCGGGCCAAAGTCGCAGCATCATGGGTTCGTCGTCGTCCAAGCCAGCGCGCAAGCTCGGGTCGGAAGTTGCTTCCACCGTGTCGCGCTCCGTTCCATCGGCGGCCAAGGCCAAGCCCAATCCCGCACCCGCCGCTTCCGCACGCGTGCCGCCGACCGAGTATGCCGCCTCGACCGCACAGCAGAGCTCGCAGTTCGCGCCATCGGCAGCCACACGCCGCGAGCAGGAGACACAGCGACAGCAGAGCCAGGCGAGCGAGACCAAGTCGGCCGACATCATGCGCGACGCCTACGACCCGCAGTTCCTCCACAACCTCTCGCGTCTCGGTCAGGTCCAAGTGCCCAAGAACGCCACCAACTATCAGCCTGTAAGTTCAACACCACCTGCCAGAGCCCACTCTAGATCCTGAACTCACAATCGGCTTGCTTTCGATAGAACGATCAAATGCTCCGGATCTTGGAGGCGCGCGAGCGGGCGAATCTGGACAATATCCAATCCGACGTATTTGCCTCTTCTTCGACGCCGGCCAAGACGAGTGGACCCGCACGCATCCCAGCGCACACGATTACCATGCTACTCGACGACCGAAAGCACTGCGAGACACGTGCGGACCTGGAGAAGCTCGCGGTGGAGTACGACCTGTCGCTCGCAACGATCGAGAAGCTCGCGCGCTACTACAACTCGCCCACCATGGGTGAGGAGGTGCGCGACGAAAGCGACAACGTTCAAGACCAGGCTAACCGTCAGGACGAACGCGCTCCCCCCAAGGTCAAGGGCGTATGGGTAGAGCCCAAGCTGCAGTCACAGATCGAGGCATAGATGAAATGTTCATCAAATTGGTGCTGATCGTGTGTCTAGGGCAAAAGGTGAGCGGGGCCACGCGCAATGACGGTGTAGTCTACGCCGGGCGTAGTGACGATGAACTCAAGTAGGGTGTTGGTAAGATGGGGAGGCAGAGCCAGCGGCTGGGCAATGCAAAATTCTGAGGTGCTTGCTTCGCGCGTCGACGTGCCGAGCCAGCATCGAGCGTCGGGCTGACCCACCGCCTGGATCCACACATTGCACAGCTGCGACTCGTTGCCTTGGCCTGTTGCCCACACGAGCGTAGCAGGCTGCAGTCTTGCCGTCTCGTCTCCTGCCGACTCAAAATCGCCCATAGCGGGGTGGACTTGGAGCTCACCAGCCGGCTGCTCAGATGCGTCGCGCGAGAGCTGCACCGCTCCCACGCGCACCATCGACGTGCCCGCCTGCAGCGATAGCCCGAGACTCAGCGCTACGGGTGCGGCATCGTCGGCGCGGATGCGGACAAGAATAGACACAGCGTGCCAGCCGTGTTCAAGCTTGGTCCGCTCCACGTTGCGCTGTATCACCTCTGCAGATCCCCAACCCAGCGTGCTGACAACAGGAGAGACTTGGTCAGCCGCAGACGACTGACTATCGACAACGATGGTACACCGCCATTCGGTCCACTGGTTCGCCCTGCACTCAACCACAGCAGAGCACAGTGGCACCTCGGTCGTGGCCCGCACTGTATCGTCCGCGGGCGTCATGGCTACAACCAACGACGTCGTTCCAGTCCATGCGCGCTCCTGATCAAACGCCCATGTCAAATCTTGCGGCCCGAGCCGGCTTGCTTCCTGCTTGTACTGATGCCACCTCGCGAACAGCAGGTCGGGCTTGGGCATGCACACGCCCATGTCGGTGAATCCGGCGGGCCACTCGTGCACGACCTCGCTGCGGTCAAACCAGCGCGTGCCCGAGCCGAAGCCAAAGTCGGTATAGAAGCCGTGTGTACTCGCGCGGCGCTCCAGTCGGGCTTTCTCCAGGTTGGCACCCCCAAAGTAGAGCTGCACCGGCTTGACGTCGTGCTCGGCGAGGGTGATCCGGTGGGTTGTAGGCGTGAGCGGACGCGGCATGCCGATCCAAAAGGCAAGATCGATATGCCACCAGTCGGACCATTTGCGCTGAATCGACTGCTGCGCGGGCGGCAGTGTTTGACCTGCATCTTGGTCCTCCCACGTCCATCCCGGTGCGAACAGCGCCACGCTGAGCTGCAGTGCTCCTTCCTCGGAGCGATGCGGACCGATCATGTCGAGCGATCGCCACGCCTTGGTGCCGCCCCAGCAATTGCGGCCAAACACGTCGATGCCGACGTACACATGGGTGCGCGCGCGCTCGACGCTGTCTGCCATCGCTGCCGACAGAAGCAGTTGCGGATGGTATCCGCCAGCTTCCGGGCCCGTTAGCGTGTGTCCGCGCAGCTGCAGCGTCTGTGGACTCTCGTCGTTCGCGTCGACGAGCTCGCCTGGTGGAAGCGGCTGTGGCGGTCGTGCCCACGTATAGTTGGTGAAGAACGTGTGGGCGGACAGGAAGAAGTCGATGTTGTACTCGTTCAGCGCGTCTTGCCAAGCGAGCTGTCCGTGCGGATAGACGACCGAGTCGTACCACATGACCTCCCATTCGTCGGCTCGCTTTCCGGCCTGCGTGAATCGCCGCGTGCCTTCCTCGCGCAGGAAGTGGACCCAGGCGCGCAGCCGCTCTGCATTCTGGTACATCTCGCCCCCCCTCGCCTGCTGCCCGACCCATGCAGGCCAGGGTTCGCCAGAGCAGCTGAAGCCGAGATCGAGCGCCACCTCGATGTTGACCAGGTAGCCCGAGAAGCCGCGCTGGAGCGCGAGCTCGATAAGCTCCACTGCGTATTGCTGCGAGAAGCTCACCTGCCCGTGCAGCGGCATCGCCTTGCGCTCGGGACCTCGGAGAAGCCGAGCTAGGTCGGGCGCGCTCTCGGCCCACTCGAAGATGAGAGTGCCCAGAACCTTGGTTCCTGTGCGTCGGCATGCATGGAGCCAGCCGACGGGCGGGATGCTGACGCGCTTGTGGGAGAAGTAGATGAACGTGTCGACGAGATGCAGATGCTCGAGCGAGTAGCCTTGCTGGCGGGGATCCTCGATGTAGCCTCCTTGGAAGTCGTGGCACACAACAAGCTTTGGCCTTGGCTTTGGCTGGGCGGTGGCAGTCGAGGCAGGATGCGTAGGAGGACCGCTGTGGTTTTTGCTTGGCTCCAAGTGATCATGGAGCACTTCAGCATGTCGCATCTGATACCAGAGATGCAACTCGTCTAGATTCTCAAAGAAGTCAGGCTGTGGCAGCGCCTCTGCGTCGAGATGCTGGCGCATAGACGACGATGGCGCCTGGAGGTCGAGGTCGAGGTCGAGGTCGAGCTCATCTTCGGCGAGCGTTCTGGAGGGCAAGGACAGCGAGCTTCCTCCCCTCGGTATGAGATAGAGTGCGGACGGCATCTGCAGATGCGTCGTGTGAGCTATGCGTCAGGTGCTGATAGGAGCGGTAGTTGCACGGACACTGCGAAGATTGAGCGCAGTTCAGGGTCCAACACGAGTGCGCTTCGGCGATTTGAATGTGGCCAAGGTTGAGGCGCCAAGTTTCGTCATGTTAGACCTGCATTAATGGGTGGATGCGGCAATATTAATAACAACTTAGCCGACGATGCTCGACTCGACCTCGCGGATTCGGCAGCAGCGGTGGCCGATAGCAAACGGCACACCTGCTCAGCTCGGATACTCGGAACGACATGTTGAGAGCTTCGCCGTCCATTCCACTGCAGCGTACGTCGCAACAGCTCGGCCATCGGACTCATCGACGCTTGCCATCGCCCCGCATCAACCGACTCCATCTTGCGGTCCAAGCCGACTTTCTTCGTAGCCCTGTACCTGTGCAATCACACCGGCGACCCATCATGACAGCCCCTATCCCACTCATTATCGACACAGATCCAGGCGTCGACGACGTGCTCGCTATCCTGCTGGCGCTCGCTTCTCCCGACGAGGTGTCGGTCAAGGCGCTCACGCTGACGTTTGGCAACACCACGCTCGACCATGCCTACGCCAACGTGCTGCGCACCGGAGCCACCTTGCACCGACATCTTGCCGATCCCTCGACGCCGGACGCAGTCAAGGCGCGCTACCGCAGCTTTCACGCCGATGCCGAACCCATCGTGGTGGCTTCGGGCTCGACCCAGCCGCTCGAGGGCAAGATGTTTACTGCCTCCTACTTTCACGGCCGCGACGGCCTCTCTGGCGTCCACTGGCTTCCGAACGACCCGTTCCCAGTGCCAGAAAAGGCACCCGCACCCCTCTCGCCAACGGACAAGCATGCGACCGACGTCATCCTGGATGTGATTCGTGCTCATCTTCCGCACACGGTGCGCATCGCCGCGCTCGGTCCGCTAACCAACCTGGCTGCTGCTTTCCGCAAGGATCCCTACACCTTCGCCAAGGTGGGTGCAATCACAGTGATGGGCGGTGCCTTTGACGTTCCGGGCAACACCTCGCCTGTCGCCGAATTCAACTGGTACGCAGACCCGTACTCGGTGCGAGTGCTGATCGACGAAGCACCACGCCACGCTGCGCTCGGTGGCAAGCGCCTGCCGATCCAGGTCCTGGGCCTCGACATCACCTCCCACCACACTGTGCCGTATTCACGGTTAGTCAAGGCGACCTACGAGACGCCTAGCGACGTGCCTGAAGGTGCCAGTCATCTCGAGCGATTCGTCGGCACTTTCCTCACCCATCCTAGGGCGTTCACCAACAACATGGTTGCCCCCGAGGAGTTTCACCCGGACAAGCACGATCTCTTCCAGGCGCACGATCCGCTTGCCGTAGCCCATGCCATCTTCTGTCCAATGCCCGGCGCCGACTCTGCGGCGCAGACGAATCATGGATGGAAGCATTCCGAGCGTCGCTTCCAAATCGAGACCTCGGGCGAGCTGACGCGCGGCTTCTGTGTCGTGGACCGAAGATTCGTTGGCGCGAACAGCAGCAGGAAAGCGGGACACAACCGTGCAGAGGATGCGGATGAGGGCATCAACGGACTTCACGTCATCGAGAACCCCGACATCCCCGTGCACAAGTTGGCCCAACCGGACAAGCCGGTGACGAGCAACGAGCCAGAGGTAGGCTTGGTCGACGAAGTCACAGAAACGCCAGGCACACAATGGTTTGCGCAGATGTTCCTCGAGCGGATCGGGGTGTAAGCTGCATCGACGAACCAATCAAAGCTGCAATGGAAAGCTGCAATGGACGAGGCGCTCATCAATGTCGGCAGAGTGAGCATGCTGTGAGCAGAGAGCGGATGTTGCGTTGACCCGATAGGTATCGGGCGAGGGTTGATTGGAATCGGCCGATGCCCGTTAGTACGACTTTTCACGCCTCGGGTATGCTGGCATCGCAGCCTCGCCGATGCGTCAGAACGCGTCCGGCTCGGGAGAGAGCCTGAAAAAGCCGGTAAGCGGCCGTCACCACAAATAGCCGGACGCGACATCACGATGTTCATGCTCCGCACACGTACAACGGAGACCGTTCGAAGCGCACCGAGCTTCTCAGCATCACTGTACGAGCGTTATCAGCTTGGTCCACAATCAGAGGGGGAGAGCTGATGTGAAATCGCCCTTGCTTTTTTTGGTGCGAGCTCGTGAGCGAGAGAGGCATCGGCGACGACGCTTTTTCAGCCGGGCGCGTCTGAGCGAGCTCGGGTTGCGGGGCTGAGGTGCGAGGCTGTCAATTCACGAGGCAGGCAGGCAGGCAGGCAGGCTGGCTGGCATGCACGTCTGTCCGGTTATGGCCTCTGCGGCGGACCGCCTGAAGTGTTGCCGAGGAGCATCAGATGCATTGTTGCTCCCCACACTCTGCGCATCAGACAGTTCCTACATTCTCCGAGCCGGGTCCCCAGCGATACCTCGAAAGGCATCCACCTCGCAACACCATCCTCCTGCGAACCACATCCTTCAGCGACTTTTGTTCATACAGCCGGTCTTTACTCGATCTCAGTCCACCATCTCGAAACCTAGATAGCAGCCATGTCCGACGACTCTTTCATCCATGCTTGTGCCGGTGGTGTTGGTGGCATGGTCGCCATGACCGCCACCTATCCGCTCGTCGGCATCTCGACGCGTGCGGCCGTCGAGTCTTCCAAGAACCCCGAGGAGCCCATGGTCAAGGCTGCCCTCAAGATCCTCCAGCAGGAGGGCGTCTCGGGCCTGTATGCCGGCCTCAGCTCCAGTCTCATCGGCATCGGTGTCACCAACTTGTACGTCCTTTGTCCTCCGCAGTCCCTTGACACAACGCGCAATGAGTGCTGATCCTTTCTGATCTTGATCACCGAATGCAACAGCGTCTACTACTTTTTCTTCGAAAAGTGCCGAGAGAGCATCCTCAAGTCCAAGGCCAAGGTTGCCGCGGCTGCCGCTACGTCTGCCACGGCCACGATTGTCAACGGCGGTGCTCTGACCACCTTTGAGTCCATCCTTGCCGGTCTCATCGCAGGCACCGCCACGACTGTTTCGACGAACCCCATCTGGATCGTCAACACGCGCCAGACGGTTCGCGTCGGCTCGGCGGATCCCAAGGCGGACCCCAAGGCGGCGGCGGCGGCGGTGAAGCGTCTGGGCTTCCTGCAGACCATGCAGAAGATCGTCCGCGAGGAGGGCCCTCTGGCGCTCTGGAAGGGTCTTGGCCCGGCGTTGGTGCTCGTCATCAACCCCGTGCTCCAGTACACCGCCTTTGAGCAGCTCAAGAACTGGGTGGTCAAGTCGCGCCTCGCGCGCGCCAACGGCGGCAAGGTCTCGCTGTCCGACTGGGACTTTTTCTGGCTCGGCGCCCTCTCCAAGCTCTTTGCCACCGGTCTCACCTATCCGCAGATCGTGATCAAGAGCAGGCAGCACGCCGGCGCCAGCAAGGGCGCAAGCACCAACATCTGGACCGCCATGACCGAGATCGTCCAGCGCGAGGGCATCGCCGGCCTCTACCGAGGCATCGCCTCCAAGCTCCTCCAGTCCGTCCTCACCGCAGCCATCCTCTTCGCCAGCAAGGAGCGCGTGTTCAACATTACCAAGGCCGTAAGTTATGTGCCCGATACCACTTTGCGCTGAAACCATGCTGACCTTCGATTCCCTTGCTGTTCTCGACACAGCTCATTGCACCCGTCGCCGCGGCCGCCCCGGTCAAGAACTAGACACCCTATTCTTCAGCCATACACCCCTGACGCTGCGTGCCCATCTCCCTGCAGACCGTCGCCTCCAACTGCCTTGTCTCTCTAGCCCCCAAAGAAAGAAAAGGAGCCTGTTTCCCGACCACATTCGGAACGCGGTCTGTGTACGGTGCTGAAAGAATGGGCGTGGATTTTAGAAGGCAAGTGAGCCTGACTAAGAACCTCGGTAGGTGGTGTAGGAGAACGGCGAGAGCAGAAGGGGGATGTGATAGTGCGGATCGGGCGATTCTGTGAGCTGGAAGAAGATCTGTGTGTAGTGCAGTCGAGATCAAGTCGCTAAGGTAAGTGCGTGCGGGCTATCACTCTGTGATAAGAGGCAAGGCTTACCTCGACGTGGGGGTAGAAGGTGGCGCGGCTCGCCTTTTCAAAGTACTCGCCCGTGTAGAAGATCATCTTGTACACGCCCTTGGGTACGAGGACATCCTTGGCGTTGTGGCCCGTGAGGAGGTCGGGGCAGCGTCCGTCCGAGTTGGTTTCGCCCGTGGCCAGGATGTGGAACTGCGAGTTGAGCGGCGAGAGCGCCTCGAGCTGTACGCGCACGCCCGCAGCGGGCTTACCGAGCGTCGAGTCGAGCACGTGGCACGTGATGGGCGACTTCGACATGTTGTATGGCGATCTTGTCGAGTGTAGTCGCTCTAGAAGATGGTGGTCATGACACAGGAGATAGCAAGATTGGCACAGACCGGCTTCACAAGACCCTGCCGGATTCCCGCTCGAATTTGCGCTCCCCGCTTCGGACTTGGCCGAGCCACTCCAGAATTTCCGCTCACACGACCTCTGCACGAGCATCTTCGCTCACGACCGCCGACATGCTTGGAGCAGCAAGGCGAGATCGATTGCTTAGTCGAACATGATGCGCAGCTTCATCTGCTGCACAAACATCGCAACGATGCCGAGGCTGATGCATGCTGGCAGGAGGTCCAGTCGCACCACCGAGAAGATCCAGAGTGTGCCCAGCGGTGCCACTCGCTGTATCACCACATCATACGGCGACTGTGCATCCAATCAAAGACGAAGGAGAGTGCAATATAGTCAGCGATACGCTTGGATGCCCATCGAAGCCGGGTGGAGGCGCTCGGCGTACCTTGTTGACAATGTAGATCAGAGAGCAGCCGCAAGCCGAACAGATGCCGAACAGCAGCACCTGTATCAACGCCTGCCGTTGCGACGTGAGGTCTGCATGCGTACGGTAGCGGGAGAGAAGAAGAGAGAGGGGTCAGCATAGGCCGTGACGGTTGTAGTAAGCTCGACGAACGATGAGAAGGACTTACTGAAGTGGATGAAAAAGCCGAGGACTAGTAAGGCGGGAAAACAAGAGGGGCGACGAGGCCAGGGTCGAAAGCGTCTCTGTAAGCATGCCATATTGGGTCGGCTGAAGAGTCTGGGAATTGTAGGACGCACCTGGAAGCGCTCTGATCAGGCGCACTGCCTCGTCTGCGAGCCCGACGGTATCTCCATACTGCTGGCGCACCAGCACGTCGAGCAGCGTATACATGAACCCGAACGGCATGGTCCAGATGATCAGATCCAGGATACTCTCGACCTGTGGGCTCATCTCTGTCGCTTCCTGCTCCTGCATCAGTCGATCCGCGTTGTCATCTCCATCCAGCTCGTGATCCGACGCCACGCCGTAGTCGTCCTCGGAGTCATCTTCACCATCCTGCTCCGCTCCGCCACGGGCTTCTCCGACTCGAGGCCCGGCTTCGCCATGCTTGAGTGCGTCGAGCTGGGCTTGAGCCTCGTCCATGCTGACAAAGTCCTTGGGCAGGCCCAGCTTCTCGATGATGCCCGACTTGAACAGGATTTCTTCCTGCTGTGCTTGCGTCAGTCCTGCCGTCTTGGACGAAGAGGAAGACGCGTTGGGAGAAGCGCGGACATCTTCGTTGTCCGATCCGTCCTCGATCTCAGTAAGGCGTGCCATGGTGTGGGCGTTGACAGTGCTGTCGTGGTGGACCGGAGGCGTGTTGGTTGTCGAATTGCAAGAAGGTGTTGATTGCCGGCGGCGACAAATCCTGCTCGCGTCGGAAATTCCTCCACTCGGACCCTGAACCCACCTTGAAGAAGCATGGTCCCACCATTCTCCCTGCCAACACCATCCTCAACTGTCTTTGACCACAAATCCGTCGGCGAGCAATCAAGACACGGTCATGCTCTCATCCCACAAGCCTGTTGAGGAATAACAGCTTCATTTGCGTCGTTACCAAGGGCCGGATCGTGAAAGGATGCATGCAGGGTCGTAGTCGTAGCAGTCATGGTCGAAACATTTGGAGAAGGTGAGATGGGTGAGCCGCACTGGCAGGCGAGGGGCGCGATGCGGCCACGGGTTTAGGCAACGCAAGTGCAGTAGCTTCCATCGCCGCCAGATGCGCCACCAGGTCCACGGGGGCCACCATTGCCGCCAGATCCACCAGCGCCGCCATTACCACCCTGGCCGCCCTGACCACCCTGACCGCCATTGCCACCCTGACCGCCATTGCCACCCTTGCCGCCCTGACCGCCCTGGCCTCCGTTGGAACCGGGACCATTGTAAGGACCATGGCCACCATGGTGGCCGTATCCGCCGTACGGAGGATAGCCGCCATTGCCACCATTGCCGCCTGGACCGCCATTACCACCGTTACCACCCGGACCACCCTGATTACCCTTGGGATGGTTGCCCTTGGGATGGTTGCCTTTGGGCTTGTCGTCATCGCAGTCATCGTCGTCCGACGAGCCAGGACCGCCAGGACCGCCGGGGCCACCAGGACCACCGGGACCACCAGGACCA